GAGGGTGGGGTAGCGGGGATTGTGCCAGAACGTTTCGACTGTCACGTAGACACAGGCGGCATAGGGGGCTCATCACCCATCCACCCGCTCATGGCGGCAAAACTGTCACGGCCGATGATATCAACCCAACCCGGCGTCCTCTGCCGATCAAAGATCCGGCCGATCTTATTTTTGATCCAATCAAATGCTTCGTAGAAATATAACATGACGCGTATGAAGTTGCAAGCGAGAGTGACTGAGTTAGACGGGATGATAGTGGTGGTCGAGGGTAACGATGGCGAGCGTGGGTGCTGGTAGCAAGAAGCCAGTGGCTTTTTACATAAAAACTTCTGGCAACGGTTAATGGACATGTACGCCTAGAATGCCAAGGTGAACTATATTTAGTAATATTACATCATTTCCCTCCATATGTCTATCAGCGGCGCTTATATTAGTACGGACTTTGCCGAGCAACTTCATGTCCGCACTTCAAACACTTTTGAAGCGCGACAACTATGGGGCACTAAGAAATTTAGACCGTCCTCGGTCTCACCTACCCTCCTCTTCAGATTGTGTCCAGTCATCTTCCAGTCTTTTCTCTGTTCCTTCCTGTCTCAGCACTTCCTCTTCGCTTTCTTCCTCTAGTACATCCTTACCCAATTGTCTTAGAGATAAACGGTCTCTGGCGATGTAGGGCACAAGGCGAAATCCAGCGTACCCATGGCGAATGTTGGTTCCGTCCAACTCCTTGAGAACATAGGACCCCTTGCTGGTGCGTTTGTGAACCACGAACGGTCCAAAGTAGCGATTCAGCGCCTTGCGGTTTAATGACTTTTCTACCCGGGTATTGCGAATAAGAACTAATTCGCCTGGTGAGAAATGTTCACGGTTCAATCGTTTAGCGAAGCGTTCTTCAAACTGCAGCTTAGTCTGGAATCGGTAATGTGCAAGTTTCCGGGCCGCTCGTTCCATGTCGGTTGGAAGCTTCAGAAGCTGGCGTATGCGTAAGGCGAGCAGATCTACTGTGGATAGACCAGCCCGGTAGCCTCGAATCATCCAGGTGGCTTCTGTGAGGTCAAATGGTAGAACGGGATGTGCGCCGTGAAGCAAATAGAATGGGGAACAACCAGTAGCTGCTGAAACGGTAACCTTGTCTGCAAAGAATGCAGCTGCCACCTTATCAGGCCAGCGGGTGAGATTTCCTTCGCAAGCCTTCACGATGGATTCTCGTATGATGAAGTGTCCTCTTTCTACCACACCATTAGCCTTGGAATTATAGGTAGAGATCCGAATCTGAGGTATTCCATAACGGTCCATGAGCAGCGTAAACACCTTTCCAGTGAACTCACTTCCATTGTCCGTCACTACTTCCCCGACGGCGCCATAACGGCAAAATATCTCTTCCCAAACAAACTTGGCGATAGCATCAGCAGTATTATTTCGCAGTGCACGACCTTCCGAACATCGTGACAGGTCATCTCGTGCGGCGACAATATACTGAAACCCTTGAGCGGGAGGCATGAACATCACGTCTAGGTAAATCTTTTGCCATATTACGGAGGGGGTGGATATGATCAATGGAGTCTGCATCTTCTTAGTACTCCGTAGTTGACAATAATGGCATGAACTGACGTGTGATTTAACATCTGCTCGAAGATGAGGCCAGAAAAATCGAACTCTGATGGTTTCCCATACCGCTTGCTCTCCTCGGTGGCCGAGTCCTTCGTGGGCCTGCATGAGTATAGTTACTCGCTCTTCCGGAGAAAATATGACTTTCAGCGCTGGATGAGAACCATTTCGCCGGAACAGGCTTTCATCCTGCAAAAAGTAGCGTGAGGCTTTCTGCAGGAATTGGCGATCATCTTGTACTGATCTGACCTCGTCTGGGTAGCGAGTATACTTCCAGAAGTGCAATATATCGCGTAAGTCTTTTTCAAGACGAGCTGAAGCGGCAAGGCAATAGGGAACTGAGCGTGGTGCTCGGGAGACATACGGTTCGATTTTCAGGAAGTTGACCGGGCTGACTGAGGTGAAGAGAACTATCTCATCCAACCAGTCGTCGTCCTCCGACTCTTTATCCTCTCCTGGTGGGGGGACTCGGCAGGATAAGGCATCTGGGCCGCGGAAACGCTCTGCTGGTACGTGCACTAACGTAAAATCGAACATAAGAATGCCTTGTATCCAGCGATTGATGGCGGCATTAGGCTGTAAGTCAGGGGAGTTGAGCATTCCTTTGATGTACTTTGCGTCGACTTCAATATATATGTTCTGTGCGCCGATGAGATAGATTCGATAGTGACGTATGGCCCGATAGAGTCCAAACAACTCTAGCTTGGGCTGCGAGTATCGAGATTCAACGTCTGACATTGGAAGCGATCCATAGCGAGCGGGTCTTCGGCGCCCTTCGTCGTCGAGTTGAGAAAGAATGAAGCCGACTGCGATGCGACTGGAGTCAACGGACAAAATAACCGGATTGGCAGATGTGTAGTCGATTGGACGTAAAGCAGGAGCGGAAGTGACCAGTCGTTTCAACTCGTTAAATGCGGCTTGTCGACGGTCGTCCCATTCAAATTCTACTCCGATCCGAGTGAGTTCCGTTAGAGGTCGAGCGATCTGAGAGTAGTTCGGTATCCAAATTCGAACCGTTCCACATAGTCCGAGGAATCCTCTGACTTCTTTTGGTGTTGTCAGCGGTGGCCACTCTAATATTTTGGATACCTTCTTGTCTTCAGGAAGACGTCCATCTGGAGTGCAAGTCTGCCCTAGGATCACGACATTTTTGCGGGCTATCTGCGTCTTAGATCCTGAAAAGGTAGCACCGGCGCACTTAACTCGATGTAGAATGCGATGTACGTCTTGTGCATGTTCCCAGATAAATCTTCGGATTCCTGGGTTCTCCTTAAGTCGCTCGGGTTCCCCTGTTGCGTCTGGGTATTCTGATTCTGGCCCCTTTACTGCTAGGTCGTCGATAAACACATTCCCCTTTGCCGGGATTTCTTCCTGCAGAATAAATGCCATGCATTTTTGGAATTCTGCGGGCGAGTTCGTGTATCCCATTGGCAGCGAGGTAAGACGGAGTAGACCTAATGGAGAGAGGAACGCAGTAAGGTCTCTACTGGAGAGATCCAGTTTGCGCGCATCAAATCCCCAGAACAAGTCGAATACTGATGAACATGCTCGGGCCGCAAATGGTTCTACGAAGTCGTCGAGGATGGGTGGCATTCCAGCATCTCGGATCGAGACGCGATTGAGGGGCTGAAGATCGTGAACAAGACGTATCTTCCCGTTCTTTTTTGCAACCGAGAACCATCGCGAACAGTATGCTGACTGGCAGTGCTCGTAGACACCTGCATCGATTTTCTCCTTCAAAAGTTTTATGACCTGGTCGCGAAGGCCCGGTGGAATAGGTATGTTCTTGTATACCCATGGAACGTGTGGAACGGTCGGGATAATATAAGGCGAGAAATACGAGTCCTTCAACGTTCCCCGCTGCGACTCCTCGAAGGCTAACGCGCCCTTGTTCAGCACCATCACCCACTGGAATAACTTCTCCTCCTCAGGGAGCAAGTGTCCATCTGGGTTTATGTTTAGCTGTTCGAGTCGCTCAGCGGTGATTCACTCCGTCGGAACGAACGAAGGTGGATGAGGCGTCAATTCTGGGAGTGTAAGCAATGGGTCTTCAGGTATCCGCCGAATCACTCGAGCTTCCTCAGGAAAGCGACCGAGTACTGGCTTTGCCTTCTTATCCACTCGCTTATAGGCTGTCAGCACATCTTGCGATGCCGACGGAACATTATGTGCTCGGAATTTAGTAAAGGCAGCGTTCTGCCATTCGGATGGTAGGCTTATCGGCATGGTTGTTTCGCACGACAGCGGGAGCCACAACAAAAGCTCTTAATTCAACAGTGATGGTACAGCGAGAGACGCTCCGGTACGCCGAAACGTAAACAAGTCGCGAGGAGACAATATAGGGGGTGGGGTTGCGCCCACTCAAAGAATACACAGGGTTATAGCCCGGATATGAACAAGGTCGTGAACTTGGGACAGAGGACGAACGTTTGTCAAACACGAAGAGGCAATCACCAGCTCGAATCACAAATCAAAATAATAAATCAGAGGGAAGCGGTGTTTGTAGCAGGTATTTCTTCTAACAATTTTCGAAGAAAAAGAAGGTAGAGATAGGAAAGACAGCCGAGTTAAATGAAACGCACAAGAACTAACCGAGTCGATGTTTTTAGGGATTTTATTCTAGTAGGGATTTTGATTGCAGGTCAGTAGGGAAGAACCTAAGCGAAAGGAGAGATCACGCAGCGGAATGTTATTTTCTTTTTCAGAGCAAACGCGAAGCGAGTATGAAACCAACAGCAACAGAAACAAGTACAGTCGGAACGGTCGAGGTTAAAACAGATCCCGGACGACTCGTCCAGAGCGATGCAGAGTGGGGCCGTAAAAGCGAGTCTTCTTGTGGCGTTTCGCCGGAGGTGGGCTCGGATGGATGATTGTCGTTGACAACTTCGTCGGCTGGGGTTGGTGGAGGAGTGATGATTCGGTTGGGGGCGTAGGGAGGTGGTGCGTGGTCGATAGCGGTACTAGGAGCAGCGGATCCGGTTCCTCCGAAGAGCGTGGCGATGGCTGAGTTAGGGGGACCGGCAGTGGCGATGATAATAACTTCGGCTAAGGTGCGGCGAGCAAGGCGTAGGTTGAGCGGAATAGAGGGCGACATCGGTTAGGCGAGTAAGTTAAATTGTTGAAGCAGAGAGGTTTGACGTACGAACGTTACCATCATTTCCTTCGTCTTCAGAAGCTTCGGGGCGCAGTCGGAATGGGACCGTCACCGCGGGTGGTTGCATGCGTCGTCCATCAGCCATACGCTGCTCTTCTCTCACGCCTAATTCTCTCGCTATCTCCGCCGGCACTATCACCCTCCACGACGCCTCTACTTCCTCCCTAAACCTTCCCTCCGCCTCCGTCAGCTCACTTGCGGCGTTCGCCCAGAAGTGCTGATCGTCCATCTGGTGGCGGAGCATCGTAAGGCGCCCAGCCATAGCCGCCACATTCTTGTCGTACATCTGAAGGCTCTCAATTCGCGGCGACTCGGAGTCGTCGAGAACTCCGAATTTGTTGAGGCGCGCAATGAGCGGCATATCGGCGACGGTGCTGAAGCGAAGGAGTTCGAGAACGCGGACATAGGACATTTGCCCCATCGACCGAAGGTACCGGGTCAGAGTGTCGATGAAAATGAGTTCTGACGCCGTCCAGAAACCGCTGGTAGAGGAAGTCGTCACTCGGATCCAGTCGAGGTAAAGTCGAACGAGAGGATGAGCGAAGAGCGTTTGGAGTTCGTGGTCAGGGAAGTCCGTGAAGGGGCGTTCGCGACGATTGAGGCATCGTTGGACTTCTTCGAAGAGGAACAGGAAAATGGGAGCGAATATTTCTTGGCGAATAAATAGGTAGGCCATGAGGGCGGAAACGGATAAGATGCGGGCTTCGGAGTTGGGGTTCCGGAAGTCGTAATCGACACGTGCGGGTCCGAAGTTCTCGAGAGAGACGTAGGAGGCGAAATACTCGTGTGGGTCTTCGTCCCAATCTGCGTCGGGATGGTCGGGATGAGGAGGAAGCTCGCATTCGCTGAATCGAAGTTTCTTCTCTTCCGGCACCTCGTAACCGGAGAGAGAAGGCGCGATAAATGGTGGAAGGTCCTCTCGACCTCCAAACTCCGTGTCCTGAACCGCCGCGTTGGACAGCATCTGCGCGGCATAGTAGCAGCCATTCTCGTGACGAACGATCTCGTCGGCGATCCAAACCATGGCGGGGTCGTTCGTGCCGGGGTACAGCTTATTGTAATGGCTAGGTTCCACGACGTCGCAGTCGACTTCTCGAGGATCGATTACACGCCCTCCGAGCCGGACGATATTGTCGAGCGCCCTTTTTGCCCTAGGGAGATCATACTCCTGGGTGCGTGCGTCGAAGGGGAGGGAGAGCCGGAGGACGTTGGTGAAGCCGACTTCATGAACGGGATACGGTGGATCATCGTCCGGGTAGAAGTCACGAGGTGACGGAACGGCGGTGGTCGAGGTGGACGGGTCCTCCTGCATCGGAAGTGGGGGTGTCGGAAGACGGGGAGGGCTAGCAGGTGGTGAAGCGGGAGAAAGAGGCGCAGATTCGAGAGTTTGGGGTTGAATAGGAATTTCGGGATCATTTTCGGACTCGTTTTCGGTGTCGTAGATACGTTCTGGATAAAAGGGTGGCGTTTCGAGGGATGGCATAGAGGAAAAGGAATCATTGGAGGGAGAGTTACGATCGGGAGCCCGTTCAGCAAACCCATCGACATTCATTCGAAAGGTAGAGTAGTGCGACTCACCACTGTGGTTGTTGTTGTCTCTTCCTCGCTCAGCGGCGGCGAGGATCATATCATTGATCTCCCCTGGGCAATACACCCGCGACAATTTATTAGCGTCGAGTTGTCCGTTAGGTTTTCGAAACCACATACCTTCTACATCCTGAGGAACATCTTGTGGCGAGTTGGGTGGCGCCGGCGTCGTACACCAATTCAGGAATTCCTGAAAATGTGGCGGCGTCGGACACCCCATTAGCGCCACCCTCCCGTAGATCTCATCTCCCCGACTCAACTGCCCGCTATGATTCAATTCCCGAAAATCGTGGACAAGTCGAGTGCCGCTCGTGGTGAGCATCACGTCGACTGGCGTGTACGAAGGCGAGGGTCGGAAGTCTGGCATGAAGAGGCATCGGCCGGACTCGTCTGGTTGTTCAGGACTCGAGGGGCTAGCGGATGGGTCGCTCGATACTGCTGCGGGCAGAGCTGGCGAAGGTTCGGCGGGGTTCTGCGACGAATGGGAAGAGGCGGCGGAGTCGCTGCGGGCGGGGTGATGAACTGGGTAGAGTCGGCTGAGTGCTGCGACGAGCGCGTGGGCTGCCTCCTCGGGTTGCAGGCTTGCCAGAAAGCGTCCAAACTCCTCCGCTCGGAAGGTGTCAGTGGAGACAAGGGTCGGGTTGAGGAAGTCGACCAAGGGGCGGTTGGCATCGACAAGATGAAGGGTGTCGTCGGAGGGCTGAGGGGCGGTAAGGACGAGTGTAGGGGGTGGTAAGGTGTCGGTTCTGAGCCGAGATACCTCCTCGGTGTCGTTACTGGGTTCCTGCTCTGGTACGGTGATGACTCCAACCATCGGCACCTCTGGTTCAGACTCGATCTCTGGCGACCAAGACTCGCGGAGTGGGGAAGATGCCCAGGGAACTGGCCTTGGTAAGGACTGAATCTCCTCGATGGCGTACCGAAGTTCGTATCCATTGTAGTGGTACGAGGTGGAGGACGAACCGGCGGACGGTTCATCGGGATAGGCCAACGTGGCGGAGTCGACGGAGAAGACGTCGATGCAGTCCTCAGCCTCGTTTCCAGGCCCGGATGCTTCGCGGATAGGTCCTTCAGGATGAGTCGCATAGCGCGCGGTGCAGTGGGTGGTGTCCTCGAAGGAGGCCGATAGGGGGGGGTGGGACGACGGATATTTGGTGGAGGCATCTCCGGGCACGGATGCGCCGGAGTCATCGGTCGGGGAATAGGCATGTTGGCGTTTCGACGGAAATGGCCCGTTTAAATTCTGGAGGGATATAATGTTGCGAGTGGGGGAGGTTTCGAGGTGAGGGAAGGGTGTCGGAGGTCTAGTGGACGTAACGGGACTGTGCGCGGTCGGAATCGATTCTGCGACGATCGTCGGTGGGGTGGCTTCGGCGGTGCTCGTTTTACCAGCTGATGGGCGTGGGCTGCTGGCAGGTCGTTCAAACTCTTCTGCTTCAAATTCTCCTTGGTCTCCTGAACTAGATACTGAAATAGATTCGGCCCTAGAAGAAAGAGGCATCGGTCCCAACACGACGGAATTCTGGGAGCGAAGCTGCGGATAAAGAGGAGGCATTAGCGTTGGGTGAAAAGGAGGAAATATGCGTAGGTGAACATCGCCGTGACGTATTACGGGTTCGTCGCCGTTGGTAGGACGAAATAAAAGTGTCGCGTTAGCTGCGACAGCATCGAGGAACCCGTATTCCCCTACTCGTCCCACCTGCAGTGGTAACGCCGCAAGACTGCCTAAGGACAGCTCGCACAGATCTTGGCAAACAAGATCATTTTGCCGTACTCGATTGCTAACGTTCATGACAGTACGATGAACCCGAGAGCTTACAAGCTCGGGTTGCGGTTCGAAATCATACAGAGACCGGCGAGAAGAAAGAGTACGAAAATATACGAACTCGTGCTGTGTATCCGTAGCGGCGTTGAACTGCTGCGACGGCTCGGAATCGTCGGTATTGCTTGGAGTCTGTGGGCGACTAGGTAAATTCTCGTCAAAACGAGGAGAGTCTTGCAAAGGCGGGTCTTCGAAAATGTCGTCGTGATTAACGAACTCGTCTCGCTGAGCAATGGACGAATTTAACTCACTAGAGGCCGTGTGGTACGAGGCGTCGTCGTCGTCGGTGGACACAGAAAATACGAACGGCGTTGAGAAGAAATCAGGACGGGGCGAAGAAGGTCCTGTATTTATATGTTCGTGAGTTGGAGGGTTCTCAGGCGCGTTCGAGCGATGGGAGTCAAGATGAATAGAGGTGCTACTCACCGGCTGAGGTTCTGCGGCGTTCGTTATCAGCGAAATTTTCGAGGGTGTTGGAGGCGATGATGACACCCACGACAATGTCGTCTCACGCGGCGTCGAAAGGCTAAGCAAGCTGCGCGCGGCTTCGAGCGTTGAGGAATCCAGTGTGGGGTGACGGGAGTCAGAGTGTGTCGAGAGGGGATCGGTAGCGAGAGTGGACATTCGAAGGGCCGAACGATGTTGTTTTGGGGTCGAAAGGAGCTTGTCTGGTAAGGGTTCGAGTGGCATTTCCTCGTCCTCGGCTGCGAAATTCATTGCAGGGGATGGTATTGAGCCAAACTGCAAAATTTCCGCAGTAGTACGACGTACCCGATGAGAGCGTCGCTCGACCTCATCGTTCCACGAGGTTCGGTAGGACAAAGGTGTCTTAGTGAACAGTTTAAGTTCACCAAGACCCTGTCTCTTCCCTTCCATATCAAGGGTCCCCGTTTGCGTGTGACCGAGTGCGATTTCGCGGGGCCGCTCGTCATCTTGTTCAATGACGAGAGATGCTACTGCAAAAGGTCCGTCAGAATCTGTCTTCGCTGTGGTTCCGAGTCTCGCGCTGTGTATATGGCTCCATATTGGTGACGCACCGTATACGGATGGGAGGGAGTACCTCTCGTCTAGAATGTTACGTGTGGATGTCTGTTCGAACTGTTCATCGCCTGTGGTCAGATCCGAGTCCGTACCGTTCAACGATTGCGCTGGTGTCACTACGGGGATTGGGCTCACCTGGGATCTCTGCTCCCTCAAACCGCCCGCCGTAACTTCTACCGCCCCGACCGTTCTTGCTAAGGTTTCAGGGGTTGGTGTCACGGCTGCTTCGTCCATGCGTTCATCGTGTGCAGCGGTTGAGACGTGCGAAGGAGCCTCGGTCGTGGTTGCAGCCGGTGCCGATCCCGCCCGTGGATGACGCAGAGTGACTGCTGGATGCGCGTGAGGCGTGTATGACACGTCATCCGGTGGTCGGAGCGTACTTCGTTCTGCCGATTCGACAAAGGGGAAGGGGCGATGGGTGGTCGAGGTGGGGGACGTGCGTTCAGATTCGTCGGCTGCCGCTGGCGCGTACGATTGCGCAGGGTGTCTATTGTCACGGCTGTGTGCCTGAGAAGCGGGCGACGAATTTGCTGGATGGTGATGGTTTAGGTTCGAGGGTGGTGCAGAATCAGTCATAGAAATGGATCGCATAGCAATCGTAGGGTGCGTTAGCGTCCAGTTAGGGTTCATGTCTTGCCGTACTAGGACCTCGTACCTTGTAAGATCCATCCGGGAAGGCCTATGGATGTTGAGGAGGGATTCGTCTTCGGTCATTGTTCGCCCTACTTGGATGGGGACGTTGCGTACAAAGCCTAGGACAAGGCGAGTGCCCGTGTTTGGAGGCCCATCCGTGCCGGTGTAAGGCATAAGCGGCTCTCGAATGCTTTCATACCAGAAACGAGACGAGGTGAGGTTCCAGCGCGAGTTGGAATCAACATATGCACGTACATGTCGACCGTTCTGGGCTACACCGAGCACCGGGGGAATCGTCGATAGCAGACGCGTTTGATAACTAATCCGCGCCGTCGACGCTACAACATTTTCGGATCCAGACGAGATCGCAGGCCGCGTCGAGAGTCGTACGGCGTCGGGTTGTACCTGAGAGGGTGCGGGCCCGTAAGACATGAGAGATACAGAGCGAGGCCAAGCGTGCGCGTTGGGAACGAAAGTCGAACAAACGAGCGCTTCGGAGACCACAGCATCCGAACCGGCAATCGCCGATTGCCTTTCTAGACCAAACGCGTTTGCACTATTGTTCTGCGTGAAGTAGGCTGCCGCCGACGCGAGCCTCGTTCTTGGCTGACGAGGTTGAGCCTCTATGCTGTAGGTGAGTCTCCTTCCATTTTGTTCCTGACTTACTGCGGCTTCATACGCTAGGTGCCCATTTTCGTCCCGGAAGGTGAGGTACGTACCGGTGAGTCTTTCATCTATTGACACTAGGTTCTCGCGCTGCCACTCGCGCCCTAGCAGGAGCTCGAACGGGAGCTTGTCTCCAATCCAGAGGTCCGCGCTGGTGCGTACCGCCCCAAACTGCAACGGGACTTGTTGCACCAATCCGACCAGCAACCCCTGATTGCTGTTTGCGTCTCGGATGGGTAGCGTCGAGTCCGGTTTCACCGGGTACGGTATGTATTTTTCGTACACATCTCTTCGGACGATGTTGATTTGGGACCCTGTGTCAATAATCCCGTTGAGAGGATTACCGTTACAGGCCAACTGGACCTTGATTAGCGGGCTGTGCATTGTTCGTGGTAAGACTTCCGCTTCCATTACCGCCACTTCCTTGTTTCGTTCTTCGCGTACTGACGGTTTCGGTTTCAGGTTCTCGCTCAACAGGCTCGCCATCTCCTTCGACGTTCCCAGAATCTCGCCCAACTTCATCTCAATCGGAGTCTCTAACAATTGCTGCAACACCGTCGTGGGATTCGTTTTCGAGGATAGCGCCGACCGCTTCACACGGCGCTGTGCACTCAACGCCTCCCCCTCTCGCTCGTGTTTTCCCTGGGCCTTCGGATGTCTTGCTTCGCGTTTCTTGGCCGCCTCGAGGTTCCTGGAGGTAGAAGAGATATTAGGATCAGGTGCGTCATCCTTCTCGTCCAGCGAATTCTCGCCATTGCTCATTATGATATCGCTATCGTCTGGGTCAAATGGGGCTCCGCGTACGGTGTGAGGCTGGATTTGCGTGAACTTAGGTGAGTTCAGCCACTCCTGAGGTGCTTTGCGGACGGGAGGCGGTGGCGTTGGTTCCCGAACTCTCTCGGGCTGGCTACGCGTATACGGTCGACCTGCGTGTTCAGGTTCTGAGGCTTTTGGGACTTCGACGGGATGTGGCACGATGGGAGTGGGTGCAAACGCTACTCCCGGTTTAGCCGTGCTCGGGTTGCTAGTACGAGGGTGCGTCCCCTTCTCTCCTGGGATACGCGCTGCTTGGCCCGTACGGGGCTCGTTGATGTTTCTATTTTCTTTCTCCTTGCTTCGCGCATCAAGGTGAGGTTCCCGTTTATTCAGTCTAGCATTTCGAGGAGGCATGAGTACTCCGTCGAATACTAACTTGCGGGCTGTTTTCGAAACCTTTGCAGACTTATCCACCGCGTACACTTCGTATTCGGATTCATCTTCTTCGTATTCGGGGTCCACGCGTACATGGTACACGTCGTTCTCGGATTCTTCCTCTGCCTCCTCGATAGTGACAAGATAATTGGCCGCCACGTCGGCTTCGTGGTCGTAGGTGTAGCGTTTCCGAGGTGTGTAATTCCCTTCCCACTCTTCGTTATTCTCGTTACCAACCTCGTATTGGTCCTGCAGATTGGTGAACCCTCGTCGACGTCTCGCAGCGTATGCGGCTGCTACCACGCTCGCTCTTCCGCCAATTCCATTCCCTCGATCTCGTTCAGCGGCTTGCAAGATCGACTCCCCGTTACTGCGCATAATAGCAACGCCGTTTCCGTGAGTGATTCGCCCTCTCGCATCCTTGGCCAACAATCCCTCCTTCAGCTCGACGATCAGCTTACCGCAGGTCGACAGATTATGCCCGCTCATTCCGCAACCGTAACAAGTCCCCGGTTGCATTGGAGGTCTTCCCATCGGGGGACGTGGAGGAGGCGCACTCATCGGCATACCCATGCGTGATGGCTGGGTTGGCCGTGATGCGACATTCTGCGGCTGCGACTGGGAGGCTTGGGCTCGAACTGCGAGCGTTTCGGGCGAAGGTACCACCTTCGCCACATCCGGATCGATTTTGATCGCGCTATAATATAGCTGCGCATAGCGGGGGTCGAGATGAACAGAGCCAGAGATGCTCATGTTGCTAAGTTTTTTAATCATATCCGCTACATCGTCTTGTTCCGTTCGTTTGAAGCGCGCTCGAGGAGTCTCTAACTTGTTCTTCCTGTTTAGAGCTTCTGCTTTGTCGAAACGGTCCTCTCGGTCGGAGTCGTAGCCTCCCAATTTCTGGCTACGATGCTTCACGTGGCGAGTCTTCGTCACTCGCTTTCCCTTCCTCCGCGTTGTCTCGATGACCTCGACGTCATCATCATCTTCGTCCTCACTCGCTTCTGAATCACTCTCGGATTCTCCAGACCAGTCGGTCTCGAGATCTTCGTCATCGGAAGGTAAGTACGCTTCCTCAAAACGTCCGCGCTGTAACAGTGATTCCGCGATATTTTTGATTTCGTCCATTGGATAGGGATTTCGGCGGTCGTGGTCCGCGTGGCGAGCAAGGAACCGATCCTCGATTAGGTGACGGAGTCGGCGCCCTATTCCTACCCAGAAGTAGGATTTTTCTTCGTTCGCCGTGATCATTTCCTTGCTTCGCAGCCATCCCGCTATCCTTACAAAGTTGCGTGAATACTTTCGCCACTTGGCTAAGGTATTCATCTTCCTCTTCCGAGTTCGATTCACGTACGCGACTAAGTCCTTCTTCTTGTATCTTGTCTTGTACAGCTCTGCATCATACAACTCCTCGATGTCGGCCTTCAAACCAGTCCAGTCGGAGGTCTGGTAGGTATCGAGGGCTTCGATAACTTCGCGGACACGACGGGATACATACCGAAGGACAGACCGGCATCGGTCTCGGGGACTGGTGATACTATAGTAGGTGAGTAACCTTTCGTATGCATCCAGGAAGTCCTCGACCTGACTGGCGTCACCAGTAAACTTCGGTGGGGCTTGCTTGCCGCCTGGAAGGGGAAGGTTAAGAATGGTAGGACCGTTCGGGACATTGGGTTGCGGGTTTTGTGCTTGCATGGCTGGTTCGGAGGGGTTGGTGCTTTCGGAAGTAGATGTAGTGTCGGAGTGATTATCCGAATGTAACTGGGATGATGAGGGGGTTACCGATCCAAATGATGAGACTATGGGTGACTCTACGTGTGACTCTGAGGCTGAGAGCGAAGCAAACTGTTCGCTAAGTTCGCTTATGAGATCCAGGACGGGGTTCGAGCGTGATGTGAGTAGAGATTAAACACCCCCCACGGTGGGCTCCAAATTTGTCGTGCAAGTTGTGGTTTTGAAGTAAAATTCAAAGGTCTTGCCTAGGCGTAAATAGGTTTTCTTCTTTCCCGATTTCGACTAGTTGTTCGTGGGGAATAAATTCTCACTACGATCACGAGCGATACTCTGCTGGATCTCAAGTGGCGAAAGGCTGGTGGCGTGGACTGGCGGCGTAACGTTGAAACTTAGAAATGACTCAGATTGATCTTCCGGTGATCAATAACGATGGGAGAGTATTCAACGAGACGTTTTCTCTTGAATGACTCGGCTTAGACTTGCAGACGGGGCGAGCTCAACGAGACGTCTTTCTCTTGAGGCTTCGGACAGTGATTCGACTTATCGGAAGTCGACGATTGACTTAAACTATTCACTTAGAGTAGAGAGCAGGGTCTCTCTTGTTAGCTTTGATGCAGACGCAGAGGTAGCAGCCTCTGTAGCAATAAACTGGGGCAAACTGGATGAGGAGAACGTGGTGGTCAGGAGTTAACCTGTCTTTTTCGTTCGT